GATAATTTGACACGTCTTGAAGTTTGTGGACCATCCCTTGTATTAAAGCATTTGGAGATAGAGAAGTGCATGTATTTAAAATCCTTAAGAATTTTTGCTCCGAAACTAACTTCACTTATACTCGATATTATAGAAGGCCTCTTGCTTGAGGATGTCCCAATGCTTACTAGTGTTTATGTGGCCTATGTGGACTATTTGTGCTGTTCTATTTATGCAGAGAGATTAGTTTCTACGTTACGTTGTCGTCTTTCCCAATTGGAGATTCTCACCTTGAACATTTATCGTAGAAAGGTAAGGTGTCTTTCTACATTGGTTTATTTTTCACTTAATGGAGCTTAGTGATTGTAAAGTAAATATAAAACTTGATAATGGAGCCCTATTGTTGATTTGACAATCATAACTCGGTTAAATTTGGTGTGTGTCATATAATACACAAATGATTGTCAAATCAACGGTAGAGCTCGTATGGTTTTGTAGAAATTTTTTAGGTTGATTGCGTCGAAAAAACAATCTAATTGTAGTTCAGTATTTAAAAATTGTGTTTTAAGATTATAGCATCTATTTTCTTTTATAAACCAATGGATTCTGCTGACTTTTTCCGCATGCTTAGTAAGCATTTTGTTTGTGTAAAATTTGCGAGTAACCATTTTTAATAAGAAGTTGAGGAATCTTCCAACAAGTAACTACTACCCAATTGATATCTTTGTTTATTTGTTATTGCAGGAGCTTCTATCGATGCTCAAACTCCCCATGATGCCTAAACTTAAGAAGTTGGTTATCATGGAAAAGATAGGTTATGAGGACTCGAGTCTTCTTGGCTTAGCTCATTTTATCAGTGCATCTCCCAACCTGCAAGAATTTGAGATACAGGTTAGTCTATCCTAAACATCTTTGTAAATATTATCCCTACTGTCTTGTCATCATTGAGTTGAATGGATTTACTACTTGTAAATTTTGTCTTATATTATATACTTAGTATATAAACTTATTTCATTCACTTGTATGGGCAGCAA